ATGCTTCTCTAATGAGTTGAGGGAATGAACTGGCTCAGAGACAATTTTTTTCTTAACCTATATAACAATAGAATAATCAAAACCAGGACCTATGTTATATTGTGTATAAGTTTGCACACAACCATAACCTTGTTAGATCCTTACAAAAGTCTTGTGATGTAGAGAGCACAATTATTATCTCCCTTTTGTCTATTCAGGAAACAAGCACAGAAAGATTATGTGAAATAGGCAGCTAGTCAAAACAATGGACAGGGGAGAGGACAAGGGGAATAAGCATTGATTAAGCTCCTACTATATGCTAGGCACTGTGCTAAGCACTTTGAATTCTTATCCAAATGTGAGTTAATAATAATAGTTATTATTATTTTTATTATAGATTTTATAGCATTTCTACAGGACTTACTATGTTCCAGTAATTATGTTAAGTGCTTGAAAAATATCATCTCATTTCAGCCTTACAACTAGACTGGGAGGAAGGTGATGTTATTTCCCCTATTTTATAGTTGAGGATACTGATAGAGGTTGAGTGACTTGCCTAGGGTCATACAGCTAGTAAATTTCTGAACCCAAATTTTAATACAGGCCTTACCAACTGCTAGTCCAGCACTCTCTCCACTATGCTACCTAGCTGCCTGTAATAGACAGTGGATGAGGAATCAGAGACTTGAGTTTGAACCCTGACTCAGATAGCCACTACCTACTATATGGATGATCCTGGACAAATCATTTAAAATTTTTTGCCTCAATTTCCTGATGTATAAAAATTAGGTTAATATCACCTACTTCACACTTTTGTGTGAGGATTGAATGAGATAACATATGAAGAATATTTTGCAAGATTTTAAGCATTATATAAATGTTAGTCATTCTTATTGCTATATTAAAGAGTACGTAACTATTAAGTGGTTAATATGGGGATTCCAATGTAGAATTTTTTTTATCATAATTAGGATTTCTTTCACTTTACTATGCATCAGGATAGAGTCCTACCATTTAGCAAATGGGGAGAGCTTCTTGGATGAATCTTATTTGGAGAATTCAGAGACAGACCCATGCATTTTCAGTTTCCCTTGAATTAGTTATTCTCATCTTCCCTAAATATCATTCGGCCTAGACAATGAGATTAAAAGTTTAGGGACACAAAAGTAAAAGAAGTTAATTCGTATTAATTGGGTTGAAGGAAAATATCTTTCAGCTTTAATATTTTCATTCTACAGTCTTGCAACCTGCTGCATTTGTATTCTTGATATGAGGATGAGATGGGCTGGTGAGAAGGATATTTTGGTCTTTATATTAATTCTGCTAAGTAAATTTCTAAAATCAACTTTGAATGTCTATTTTTTCCCCACAGTCTTCCAAACTTTCATGTAATTAAACAGTATCCTTTCTGAAATACTTCATTCTAATAAGCTTTTATTTCTGAAATATTGATCAATTTTTCCCATGGAGTTTGAAATATTTCTGATTATCTAACTTCTTAATAGTTGGGGTCACAATCAATTTCCTCTTTTTTCCTCTTTTTATCCTAGCAGTAGTAAGGCTTCAGATATCACATTCTTTTCTATCATTATCCAGCATCCCCCAAGCTGTGCTGTTATTATACTAGATCAGTCTGAATATTAGAATTGTTGAGTCAATAAATATATGCAGAAGATCACCTATAGTATTTGTAAGGTTCCTCACCTTCCCTCTGGAAGCTCCACAGAGTCAATGTTTTCTAGATTCCCAGTGGAAGACATTTTCTAGGAATAGCTAAATAAAGTTAATTGTCTTTTAAAATCTTAGATGTCATCCTGAATTCAAGAGAATACAGCCAATACAACAAAATTGAGGTCTTAAATCGGGGGAAAAGTGAGTTGTGGCCCAGGGTGCCACATGTCAAGTGTTTTGATATCTGAAGAGGGGGCTGGGAACAGGGTTTATATAGGGTACTAAGGTAGAAGGCCTGACTAGGCTGCAGGTGGGATGGGTTAAGCAGAGGGATTGACCAACCTGGAGGTGGGAGGGGTCAGGCAGGGGGAATGTCCAGGCTGCAGGTGGGAGAGGTTTAGGCAGAGTGAATGGCCAGGCTGTAGGTAGAAGGAGTTGGGGGATATCTCACAGCTTGCCCAGGTAAGTGGTTTTGCATAACAAGCAAAATTCCTTAGAGAAAGCTTGGGAACCTCTGGAAAGGAGATTTTGAAACATTTACAAAATTAGTCAGTCTGGCAGTGATGATGTCTAGTCAGTTTCAGGCACCTCATAGGTCTGGGAAGGGGAACAAGGTCAGATTCAATCAATTGTTTGACATAGACAACATGCACATGCGTTTGATATCTTCTGTCTGTAAAGCTTAAAAGCGGTGCAAGAAGCCCATTGTGCCATTTGGCATTGGGAAACTGGTTGCCATTTCCTGGCCTAATGGATATCGCTACCCTGTTCATCTTGGTGAGTAAGTAGCCACCTGGTATTACTCATCTTTTTATCCCTGCCCAGGTGGCAATATGCCAGAAACTATCCTTCCAACACTGACTGAGAGAGTGGAATGTGCAGAGAAGAGATAATGGGGCAGAAATGGGAGGTGGAGGGATGGGAGCCCAGTGCTTAATAATAATTAAGCGAGGGGGAGCTGGAGGAAAAATATCTACATCTTGACTGATATTGACAGAGAAGACATAATCATTATAGTATTGTGAGTTCTACAGGTTAATAGAGCCTAGGAAACCTGAAGAAGTCATGGGCCTAGAATATGAGAGCTGGAAGGGACCTTAGAATAGAACCTAGAATGCCAGAGATGAGGGTCTTTCAAACGTAGAACATAGAATGCTAGGGCTGAAAAGGACATTAAAATTAGAAGTTCCAAGGGTCTGATAAGTTTAATCTAGAGAAAAAACAAGAGGAAATGACATGTATGGAGAATATCTTAGAACATTCTTAGTACACATTTGGAAGCTTTTCTCCATCCTTCAACACAATGTGTGATCTCTCATTTTATCATTTAGGTATCTGGAGGAGAAGACTTCCAAAGAATGCAATTTGCTCATGTTACGAAGCCAGGAGTGTCAGAGATTCCTAGAAGACCCCTCAACACAAAGGCAGATGAACTTCCCATAACAGGTAAGCCTTGATCCAAATCTCATACAATCTAATTTATGAAAACCTCTGTTCATGGTGCTGTGGTAAGTAGTAGAAGCAGAGGAAAAGGAAAGGCTGTGCCTTCAAGGAAATAGCATTATAGTGTGAGGGATATACCACACAAATGAAATAGAAAAAAAGAAAAACAACTTTAAGAAGGAGAGAAAATTATAAAGGACGGGTGTCAGGAAAAAAATCTTTATACAGCACATGGATTATAGGATGGGATTACAACAAGGATTTTTTTGTTTTATGAAAATCCTGCTAACTAAATATCTTAAATCAACTTTTAGTATTCCTTTATACTTCTCAACTTCCACATAATTTTCAGCATCATTTCTAATCATCTTTATTTCAAAAATATTTACCATTTTTCCCTCTGGATTTTGGAATCTTTCTAGTGTCTATCTAGGTTATAGCAGGGGACCAGATTTAACTTCCTGTTTCCCCCTACCTGATCTAAATCTGGCCACTGGACCCATATAGCTCTGAATGAGAAAGCGAGGCTGATGACTTTACACAGCCCTCCTTCACTTACATCCAGCATCTAGTTCACTTGCAAGTCATGACATCACCTTAATGATGTCATGGTCCTCTTCAATAACAAAGAACAAACAATAACAATCTTTCTAGCTAAAATTGGACATCAAAAAAGACTTTTTTTCAATTAGTATCTGACTCCACCCAAGGTGTGCTGATATACGTGCATGTTTGTGTGTGTGTATCCATCCCTGATTATTAGGTGTATGTATATATATATTATTAGATTATTAGAATTCTTGAGTCAATAAATATATACTGAAGATCTAAAGTGGGATAAGGCATATAAGTTGGGTCTTGAAGAATATGAAATACTTTAGAGATTCCCTTTATGTGAGAAGTCATTTATTGTTTAAGGCAAAGGAAAAGAATTGGGAGATAGAATTCCAAGTTCAGGTTATGGTAAATAGACACATTTTTCTGGAATATAAAGCTAGTAATAGGGAGTGGTATACAATAGGCCTGAGATCATAGGCTAGAGAAATTTTGGAAAAAAAGTTAAAATGGCAGAATTTGGGGAATTGAGCTTTTAATATACATATGCCATAAGAAAAATTTTATCACATTTATGTTTGAATAGTTCTTGAATATTTGGTAAATGCTTGAGATATCTGGGTCTCAGTGTCCTCTTCAAAGTGAGATAGTTGAACTAGATGGCTCTGAAGTTTCCCTTTCAAACTAATTTGATTTAGCCATGGTTGGGGCTATTTAAGACTAGAAAGGCAATTGTGAAATTTTAGATTGACTTTTAAATATTGCCCACACAGAAAAACAAAACAAAACAAAACAAAAACAAAACAAAACAAAAACCTTGTATCTTTTATCCATACTAAGCTTCTCTTTCATATAGACATGCCACCATTATTACCAAAGCACTCGAGTGGCCTTGTAAACAAATCACATGCAATTTATGTATTCCTTTAGTCTATCTGTATTTGTAAGCTTTTTCTTTGATGGTAAAGGGTGTTCTAAAACATATAAATGTTGATTAAAATGAGAAAAAAAAAACCTTCAATCAGCTGCCAGTTTAATCAAAAGATTCCTTCCCATTCAACAGACTCATCTGATTCTAAAGAGAATACTAATAGTTTACTTCTTTCTCTCACCATTGCTTGGATTCATTAATGTCTAGGGTAATATGTAGCACTAAGGACATATAAACATTAATGTGACCAATGCTATGGGATCCAAATATGCCAAATGTTGTCTTTGATCCAGGCATTCTATGCCACGGAGCACTGAACATGTTAGGTGCCCCCCCCCAAAAAAGGCATATTGCACAGTATTAAATAATACCCACAACTCTCCTTTGTCCTTAGGGTTGGATAATGTAAAAAAACAAAATCATGTCTAATCACACGGAAGTCACCATGTTTGTTTTGATGGGCTTTACAGATCCCTTGGAGGTACAAATCATCCTTTTCTTTGTGTTCTTAGCCATCTATCTCTTTACACTGGTGGGGAATCTGGGATTGGTTCTGTTGGTTGTGTTGGATTCCCGGCTCCACACCCCCATGTACCATCTCTTGAGTGTCTTGTCTTTCTTGGATGCCTGCTATTCCTCAGTGACCACCCCTAAGATGTTAGTCAATTTCTTAGCAGAGAATAAGACCATTTCCTTCTCTGGTTGTGTAGCCCAGATGGTTAGCATTGTAACTTTTGGGACTACTGAGTGTTTCCTCTTGGCTGTCATGGCATATGACCGCTACATTGCGATATGTAACCCTCTGCTCTACACAGCCATCATGACTCCACGTGTCTATGTGCCTCTCATCATTGGCTCATATATAGGGGGTGTGTCACATGCCATTTTACACACTGTGGCTACATTTAGTTTATCCTTTTGTGAATCCAATGTAATCAGACACATCTTCTGTGATATCCCTCCACTCCTGGCCATCTCCTGTTCTGACACTCACATCAATGAACTGTTGCTTTTCATCTTTGTGAGCTCCATTGAGATCTTTGCCATCCTGATTGTCCTGGTTTCCTATGGCTTCATCTTGGCTGCTGTTCTGAGGATCCGCTCAGCTGAAGGGAGAAGGAAAGTCTTCTCTACGTGTGGTTCTCACCTGACAGGTGTCTCCATCTACCATGGGACCATCCTTTTCACGTATCTGAGGCCTGCTGCCAGCTACTCTTTGGGCCATGACATGGCGATATCTGTGTTTTATACCATTGTGATACCTATGTTGAATCCCATCATCTATAGCTTGAGGAACAAAGATGTGAAAGAGGCAGT